GATTGAGTGGCAGAGGAAATTGCTCTCTGAGGTTTGCTACTACAGAAATCCTGCAATGCTCAGCTAAGACTGCAGCACTTCTGTAGGCAGGGCTGATGTGGCTGGTGCTGACTTAGAGATTTCTGTAACATATTGCATTTTGTGGTGCGGTTGTCTCTGCAGTCCCCTCCTAAGATTAAATCCTGACTGCTTTAGTTCTGCATGTAAAGCCCCTTATAAGGAGTGGAAACAATTCTAGAGACTTCAAAATGCTTTGGAGAAAACTGTCAGTGCTGAACATGACACTTGGCCAAAAAAAGGTACATCAGGGGTCAAGTAATAGAAAACGTCATGCATTTCCCTTCCCATGTTTGTCTTTTCTCTGAGAAACAGAAGGCCCCAAATTCTAAAACTAAACCAAAACAAGAAAAAAAAACTCCTAAACTTTCTATTTCTTTCATAGAAAGAAAAGAGATAAGGCCAAATTCACCTCTCGCAGGTAACTCCACTGTCTTTAGTGGGGTTGAATGTGGAACTGATGGGGCCCGTCAAACCCATCTGTTCAGCTAAAGGAAAGGTTGGATAGCAGCATGTAAGAGGATGGAATTATGTTCCTTTTTTATTTTTATTTTTTACATCTGTGTTACTTGGTTGGATGGTATCTTCTCCCTTTTCCCTGGCACTGCCAGACACATCCCTGATACAAACCATCTGCACGAGGACAAACCTTGTCAGAAGTGAAGACTGAAGGGAAGGGCACCATGAATCATGGAGGTTGAGTTGGCCAGATCCCATTTGTGGGAAATTAATTATATTTTCCTTTTGACTATAGACTGTTGTGTTACCCAGCTCAGCTGAGGTGGAGGGGAAGTTTTGACAGAAAACCATTTCCAGACAAGTGCACAATTCAACTGTCTACACATAGGCACCTCATGTCGTTTTGGACTCCCTACAGTCTCTGACATTTCCACCCAGGTTTAAAACTTGTGGGAGTCCTATGTCATTGAAACAACAGCTGGATCTCAATAAGATATTGTAGGGCACCTAAAATATCATCAGATACTTATATCATTGAGTGACTTAGGGAAGTCCTGTCCGTAAGGAGGGTCCTACAGTTGTCACAGAATGGTAGAACCTGTGGCAGAAGGCGGCTCTGGGTTGTATTGAGACCATCTCCTAAATGAGGCCCAATGTAGGCATGATGAGGTATAGGGAGGGATGGCACCTCACTCATTATTGACTCCATCTTTCATACCGGTACAGTGGCAACCCTGACTTGAGACATCTAGTGTAGGCAGTGGAGTGGAATCTTAGTTTTCCAAAGACACTTCCTGAATTAATGTGTATTAGGGAACGATGGCCCAGGTCCCTTCTCCAAAGCCATGGGGTCAGACGCAGGCCTAGCATGTGCATTCAGTGTGCTCCCAGATGCCTAGCAGACTCGCTCTTCCCTCCTCATGGGTGGGCAGAGTTAGACCCAGGACTAGGACCTTCAGATGCACTTGAGGTGATTAACAGAATTCATGCGGGCATGTTTCATTGACTTTAGTAGCAGCTGCTCAACCCCCAACATTATATGATCACGGTGGATGACTGATTATCTCATAAAACCAAACAAGTATGCATAGGCTTCATTAAAATCTCTCAAATGGGGTGAAAGTCCCCAGCCACTGAGCTGTGTCAGGCCTGACCCCAGCTTTGAATGAAGGAATACCACTTCCAGCCCATCTCAACTGATGATCAGATTGTAGCTTCACCTCCTTGACTCATGGTGGACTTCACATCATCAGACTGTACCCATCTAAGAGCTCATCATCTAGTATGAGCTCATCAGCTAAAGTCAGAGGAAAGACAGAGGTACACCTGGAGGGCAATTTACTGAACATAGCTTAGATACCATCCTAAGCCATAATGAATCACCTTCTGGACTTGTTTGTTTCTTGCCATTGATCCTAGCAGAAAACTAGATAAATAGGTTAGACTAGATGACATGGTCAGATGAAATAAATTCCACTGCTGCTGTCAAAATCTGTTTGGTCACCTTAAGAGGCAATTGCTCAGCAAATGCCTAGTTTGGGTTTTTTTTCCCTCCATGCTTCCCAAAGAGCATCACCTGTTAGTGATGTTGGGTTTGGTTCTGGTGCAAAAGCAGAAACGGTGGATGTTAGCATGCTGTGGATGGGCTGGGGTCAGAGTCCAGATCCCATGCATGGAAGCCAGATCCTTCAACCCATTTTTTCACTGGTATGATATAAAACAAGGAGCTTGAAACCACCTTGCTTCAAAATATCAGGGTAAAATTAGTTGTGGCTGTGACTCTGCTGAAGTCAATGGATTGACGGGGACTGTGACCTGCAATGACTTTCATCTCCACTGTCGGGGCACCATTCACTGACAGAAGTACCTGGTGGGATGTGTCTAACATCTCTCGCTGTGACTTCTAGCACTGCATCATATTAAGTAAATCAGACAGATCTTCCCTTGTCCCATCTTTTCCAATTCATCAATGTCTTCCACCGCCTATGTGGTTTCCTTCAGCTTTTGCTTTCTTGACAGCTTGTGTTTGAATATTGGTTATTGTGGCAATTTCCCCCTGCAGTGTCTTCTTTCTCGACTTGCCATAAAGTTCAGATTTTCCTTTTCTCCCAGACTGTATTACAAAAATCAGTCATGCATCCATTAATTGGTCCATCTTTCTCTCTGTTTATAGCGATCTAGTGCTTTCTACCAGTTGATGTGTAGCCATCCATTGGATGCAATGTTTACATGTACAGATATGACTGATTGGTTTTCTCCCCATTTTTTTCTTTGCCTCTTTTGATCTCTTCCTCTCTCCTTCCCTGCTTTCTGTGTCTCTGCTTTCGTTTCATTGCAGCATTTTTTTGCAAAGCACTGATAAAAGTGCCTCCATCAATAAGCAAATCTTGCTCATGCCCTTGGGCACAGCCCTGAGACAAGTGGATGATGCATAAACTGCACCGGCCTAGGAGTAGTCCCAGGAGACGCCATGACTCAGAGTCAGCCCTTGGAGGCATCATTTCCTCCTGTTTTCTCTCTGATGGGATTAAGCTGTGTTTGTTCACTGCCTCTTCTGCATACTGTCTCCTTTGGTTCCCGGTAATAAGCTGACTTGCAGGGAGAGAAGAGTACTCTGATTTCTCTACATAGATGTCCAGGTGTGAACTAGCCAACAGCCATGATTACATTGCCATGAAAAGACTTTTATGGGTCACAGGGAGTTACATCATGCCCCAGATGTACAGAAGAGGAAGAAAAAATGCCAGTCCATTGTCTTTTTCTCAAGATAGGAACCCAAAGGTATGGGTGAGGCAAAGAGCACACAGGATAAGTGCATCTGAGGCTAAACAGGCTATCACTCTGTGCTTGATTCACCACTCATTTATGCCAGTATCAACCAGGAATAACTCAAGAAGAGCTACAGGGCTGCAAATCCCAAGGCGATGGGCTGATCACATCTGATACACACATGGCTGAAGGAAGCCCTGATGCCCACGGAGGAGGTGAGAGCTGTTTCTGTAAACTGGCAATCGTGATCTGAAATCAGAAGTAGAGCAGCATGCAAAGATGGGGAGTCAGAGGTGAACAGCAGAGATGGGCCAGTGCTGCAAAGCTGGGATTTGGCTCTGTGTCCAACTTGCCCAAGCTCTGGGCTGGTTCAAAGTCTGGGTTTTGTGCATTTTAATCTGTGCCACTTTTAGAGATGGGAATGGCTGTAGAAATTAGGTGTGGAACAAAATTTGGCTTGAGTCTGAAATTGTTCCAACTTGTGAGGGGTGGTGGTAGTGGGTTGGTTTGGTGGTAGTGGATTGGTTCATCATCACGTAAATTAATGGGTGACAAGCAGTCCTTCAGAGTCATGTTCCCGACAGACTTGTGGTCTAAGGCTTTTGCTAAGTGCCCAGGGGGAAGCCTTGCATGAGGTGCAGAGAGCAGACGGACTAAGTGCACTTTCCGCTGTTGGTGATGGCATTCTTTAATGTGGTGGGAGGGGTAAACACTTTCCCTTTCCTCCTCTACGGGAACAAGCTGGGATGCTGAGGAGTTGGATGTCCTGTGCCCAACCGTGAGTGTCCAACCCCAGGAGACTTGCTCTGCACCTTATGTTTCTGAGGAAGACCCGTTGGCTGAGCCATGTACCAGGCCACAGCTGGAGCAACATCTCCATTCATGGGACTGTGTCCTTCTCAATGCACACACTAAGTCCTCTTCATTTCATGTACCAGGCACTGAACTTTTCTGTACCGTGCACATCATGTGTGTGCCAACAGGGTATTTGCAGGATAACATCAGCAGTTCTCTTTCTCTCCCTCTCCTTCTCCCTCCCTCCCTCTCTACAGGTATCACTGAATCCTATGTCAAATCCGGCAGAAGCTACTGTGCTTATGCTAAAAAGTTCATTCGAAGAACCTGCCCACTCTACAGATCTATTTTATATATTTGTAGACTTCTCTGGTTCCAGGGCAAAAGCAAAGGAGCATTTGCGTTATTTTTTTTTAAAATCATTAATTTATCTGCTTTTATTTCTTTTGCTGCTGTTGTTGTTGCTCATATTATACACAGAGTCTGGTCGTTTGGGTATGTAGATAGATCAACAAGCTTAGTGCTGCTGTCCAACACAGCTTCTGCCTGGCTGAGGGAAAAGGAGGTACTTCGGAAGATGCAAGTCTTTCAAAGGACACTTAATCACAGGTGGGGTGATAGCAGAGCAAAGCCATGCTTTTGCTAATGCTCTTCTTTCCAGCTCGGTGGTGTCGGCTGGTTGAAAAAACGCTGTCTCCTACAGGAGGCATCGTTGGGGCATGACTTGTGTGACTGCCAGATGTACCTCGGGATAGCCCAGAAGCCATTAGACCTATTCTATCCAACCAGTTTTAGCCTTTTTTTAAAGTTTTTATTCTTTTAATATCAAAAAAGTAGACTTCTCTCATGTCTGCAACCTCAGAGGAAGTAGGCTCAAATCCATTTCTCCACTTGGAGCCCAGCGAAGGGTTTTGCCTGCTTTATTTGCACGTGTGGACATCGTAGACTCGTATGCACTCCTGGCAGCGGACGTAGCAGCACCAGTGGAAGATACAGTGGCACTTCTCTTTCCGTTTCTCAGTCCTCGTGTTGTGCCCACGGCCGCAGCACAAAAGGTCGCAACCATCAATCCCATGGGAAGTGACATTACAGATCCTGTCCCGGGTTCCAAAGGAACCTGTCTCCGGGTTGGGCTCACAAAAGTTTGGTGAATTCTCGTAGTAAACCAGGTCCTTCTCAGTTGGAGCCTTGAAGAAGTTATATTTGGGCCTGAGAGTCTCGACCCAGCCACGGGATTCTCGATGTTTTTCCACCACCATTTCAGAAGCACTGTCGTACTTGTCCTTGAGGTAGTCACCGATAACCCTGAAGTCTGGCTGAGACCACCAGCAGGTCTTCACTTCGCAGCTGCCTGAGAGGCCGTGACATTTGCACTTAAGATGCATGAGTTCAATAATAGACTGAAAAAGAGGAGAGGAAAGGCAAAGAAGAAGGAAGACATTAGGCTATAATCAAAACACATATTGCATTCTGTTATTTAGCCAGGATTTCCTAAAGAATTGCATTGTTTTCATAGATATATTTACACACTTGTGAACAAAAATCACCTTATTCTCTGGTCAATGCCCTGCATGGATGCTGGGTCTAAGGCAGATAAAACCTCTGCAACTTTATTGTTTTCAGTGACTATCTTTGATTCCCACCCCAACTTTAAGCATCTACCAAGTCCTTTCACTAAGGGCTGAAGAGATTTCTGTGCACACTAACTTCTATCTTATCAATGTTCATGTGTGAATATTGCAGTTCTGTCACCCAAGAATAAGTTTCAGACACATTTAGGCAGGGAAGTGAAGAACACACAAACCTACTAAAACAATGTCTTTGTAAATGAAATAGACAGCTATTCCTTTGGAAATTAAAGAAATATGAAATGTCCTAACCATCCAGCACAGAATTCCATCTTTTACCTATATGTTTCATGTTTACTTGAGCAAACAAAGTTCTAGCCTTGATGCAGCTATGTTTAGAAACTTGAAAAGTAGTGTATTTTTATTTTTAAGCCAGGCTTATGATTTTTCTAAAACCATTTCAAAGGAAAAAAAATAGGAGCCTAACTTTTGATTTTGAAAGACTCAGACTTCAACCTAAAACACTGTCCTGGAATAAATAGAAAGTTGATTATTGATCCCAGAAGTTTGCTATTTTACCTCTTATGAAATTAGTCTAAAGGTTTCTAGAGGTGTTGCCCTCCGGTATTCTGAGGTGGGAGACAGTCTTATGCAACTGACTTGATAATCTGCATTTTCAGACTGATCAGCAAATTTCCGGGTACATGAACAGACTAGTGCCAGCCTGAGTCCAAAAGATTTGCCATGAATCAGCACCTTGGTGTTCACCAGGTGCTTTCCTGTATTATTTACAGAATATGTAATTAGCGATGAGAGAGAACCACAAAACGTTTGGTTCGTATAATCGTGCTGAACTTAATCAAAGCTTCTGGCATAGTGGTAGAGTTAGGGTTCATATGGGAACTAATATGAAACATTGCTTATGGCTCAGGTTTAGCTGGAAACACTTGAGTATGGAGGCCTGGAAGAGCTACCCCATGAGTGCTGGCATGGTGAGAATGGAAAACACCAGTGCTTTATAAAACAGTAGGATCTCAGATAATGGTGTGACATCTGCTCTCTAATCTTTGACATCTGTAAAATGTCCAAAAAAACCTCAGTGTCAAGTAACAAGACTTAGAGTAAAAAAGACCTCTGCAGGACTGTGATCGTAGGGATGTTTGTTCAAAGCTCAGTTTTTCCAAGGCTTCTCACTTTAAGGCAAATCCCTCCTTTCCACTCTACCCAACCTTTCCACAGTCCTATTTGTCTCATTATCTACCCCAGTAACTGCCACCAGCAATGAACAATGCATCATTAACTGAGCTATATCAAATGTTTCCTTCAAGCTGGGATGAAATCTTGTCCTAGACCTGTCTGTCTTTATACGTTCTCTGTAAAAGAGATCTGGACAACTGACTCCAAGATAGACATTTACATCTGGGTCGGTGAATATACTTAAAGCTTTCATCGATCAGGTACATTGACCCACCTCCCTGACAAGAACTATCATAGGGCAGGTATCATCGTTTCATGATGTAAAACTGCCCAGATTTATGTTTAGTTATTCCCCTCAGTTCCCTCCCACTATTCATTATGGCAGGTAAGAAAAGATTAAAGGGAGATCGAGAAAGTTGAAACAGAATGTCCTTACGGTCCTTCCAGCTTCATTGTTGTGCCTGTTCATGGCTGACCGAGCATCTGGTCTGTTCTCTCGGGCATCTGCAAACTCCCGAGACACCATGCTCCCAAACTCCACGTCCTCACTGCAGCCCCCCCATTTCCAGCCTTCCCCGGGAGAGCCCTTATGGCGAGTGTCACAGCCGCAGATGGTGGCCGAGCCCTCGGCGCAGGATCTGGTCACCGCGAAAGCCACTCCAGCAGAGGCAATGGCATGGACAAAGGCTGATTCCCTGGTAGCTGTGAAAGAGAGAAATCAATGAATAGTGGCCGGTGAAGGGACCATGTACGGCTTTGATCAACCCTGTGAACACCTTCTCTTGAGGGCATGGCAGAAGGCCAGGAAACTCTCCTCTTCCCTGTGGTCCGGCTTGGACCTACTCCAAAGACGTTTTCTTATACTAGGAAATAAGCTCCTGTGTAGACAGGACCAGGCTTGATTCAAGGCCACTGAGGTCAGCCAAGAAGCTTTGACTAAGGTCATTTTAAGGTCTTTGGATAAGGCCATGGCAAAACAAAAAGCAGTGCAAACCTGAGTTTCAAGAGGGCGTGTAGAATATACTATACGATACGTTGCAGGCAATGCACCACATAGCCATACCCTGAGCTGCAATCTTGGCACTGCACTTGGGTTATGTTCCCATAACATGGAAAATGCAGGTCTACACTTAATGACAGCCTCCACACTTAGTGGTGGGACCAGCATCAGGGAAAACATCTCCTCCTCCGTGACTGGGAGAGCTGCTGATGGCTGGAAGGTAGGAAAATTCCAGAATGGCCAGATACTCCCCAATCCTCACTATGTAAACTAAACATTGTCCCCACCCTCCATCCTGAGGCCACCTTCTTTTTCCTAGGCTGTCTAGCTCACTTAGAGACAGTGTTCAATATATGGCATCTTGCGTCTATCCAAAGTTTTATACACTTGCCTAATTAAGGCCCCTGCCAAGGGGACTGGAAAGGAGCTTTCCCGTTCTGCCCATTGCCTTAGGATGGTGGGTGGCATCAGCCAAAAGATGTCATGATTAGGGACTGGGGAGACTTAGTCTCTGTGGAGATCTTCCTTCATAGCCTTTCATCCTAACTGGAGCTCGGTGGGGAAGGGGAGCTCAGCATTAGCCAGGCTTTCCTGGATGCCAGTGCTTTTTCTACACTGTGCCAAAATGCAAACCAAACATTTCAAACTGCTTTGCAAATGGGGAATATACCAAAATATCACTTTTTATTCCCCATCAACCCACCTCAGTTTTGGTCTCATTATGTTTCTTCACTCACTAGAAACGGCAATGGAGTTCAACACCACACCTCAAAAAACACAACTGCAATGCTTTTTGGCTTCAGCAAAATGACTTTTTCATCGTGAACAGGGCTATTCTCAAACCCTTAAGGCAATTCTAAGAAGATACAATGATTCTGATAACTAGCTTCCCTTAACCTCCTATACCATTCCCGACACGAGTTCACCTTGTGCCTATAGACCAGTTAGCCAAGAAAGCATGTTGTCTCTGACACCTTTCAGATGATTAGACCAGGACAGTGTTGAAAGATGAATAGGTCCATAGAGGCAGAAGGTCAGGTTTTCAGTTGATGCAGCTTCACCAGCTTCTACTGAGCTTTGCATCAGCTGATGAGGTGCCTACTCAAAACCACTCAAACCTTCTCTGCACCATATTTTGCTGATCTGAGCTTTCCCTGGGCATTTTGGCTTAACCTTTACCTTCTTAGCTTCCAGGCTTTACTAACGTGAAGAAAGTTTAATATGCCAAGCCAAAAAGCCAACATGTTCTCGGGGAGAAATCAGAACTGCATGCTTGCAGAGCAGTCCTGGCTGGATTGAAGTCTTAAGCAAGAACTTGTGCAGCACCGCTTTGCTTTGGGAAGACTACCAAATACAACAATATGCAAATCAACTACTGTGCATGAACTTACAAGCCGAAGGTATGCGCAATGTCCTGGAACGTGTTGTCAATGCGCATCGTGAAGTTCGTAAGTAACTGAGGGCTAGAACCAAAAAAGGAAAATGCAGGAACCCTCAGTTCCACAATGTGATTTTGAAAAACCCTTGTTCAGCACCTGTCCAGCCTGGAGAATCCCATCTTCCTCCAAATAGTGTCCATGTGGTTCATGAGCTGTGTGAAAGCTCAGCTTTTGACTATGGACAGGTGAGTCCAGTTCTAAGAGGACTGGGAACTTAGCATCTTGCACTTGCCTAAGCTGAGGTGGGATCCAGAAACCAAATCTTGGGAGTGGGAACTTCATATGACGTCTCCAAGGACATTGATGACCAGCCCTGGCATCTGTGAAAGGCAAAGGCTTCTTGTCGAAGCCAGTCAGATAAGCTGGTGGGATGAATGCCATTACCCTCTGGTGGGGAGGTAGGAGGTATGGTGCCTGAACAGAGAATAGCTGACACACCTTTCACCTCCTCCCATTGTGGCCTAACTAATCTTGAAACTTTTTCATAGAATAGTTTGGTTTGGAAGGGACCTTAAAGATCATCCCTGCTCCAACAGATCCATGTCCTTCTTGTGCTGAGGACCCCAGAGCTGAAGGCAGTACTGCAGGGGGGTCTCCCCAGAGCGGAGCAGAGGGGCAGAATACCCTCCCTCAACCCGCTGGTCATGCTTCTTGTGATGCAGTCCAGGAGACGGTTGGCCTTCTGGGCTGTGAGCGCACATTACTGGGTTGTGTTGAACTTCTCGTCAACCAACACCCCCAAGTCCTTCTCCTCAGCGCTGTTCTCCATCCATTCTCCGCCCAGCCTATGTTTGTGCTTGGGATTGCCCTGACCCATGTGCAGGACCTTGCACTTGGCCTTGTTGAACTTCATGAGGTTCACACAGACCTACCTCTCCAGCCCATGCAGGTCCCTCTGGATGGCATCCCTTCCCTCCAGTGTATCGACCGCACCACACAGCTTGGTGTCGTCGGCAAACTTGCTGGGGGTGCCCTCCATCCCACTGTCCATGTCGCTGACAAAGATGTTAAACAACATTGGTCCCAATACTGACCCCTGAGGAACACCACTTGTCACTGGTGTCTACCTGGATATTGAGCCATTGATCGCAGCAACTCTGAGTGTGGCCATCCAGACAACTCCTTATCCACCAGGTGGTCCATTCGTCAAACCCGTGTCTCTCCAACTTAGAGAGAAGAATGTCGTGTGGGACAGTGTCAAATGCTTTGCACAAGTCCAGGAAGGTGACATCAGTTGCTCTATCAATGATTTGACTTTCAAAGATGTAACTCTGTTGCAGAAAGCCACCAAATTTGTCAGGCATGGTTTGCC